TCTCCTCCTCAGCCACCTAGACCGCCAACGCCACCACCATATGGACCACCTTCTCCTCCACAGACACCTAGACCTCCAACACCTCCGCCATATCATCCACCCTCACCTCCTCAGCCACCTAGGCCTCCAACGCCACCCCCATATGGACCTCCTTCTCCTCCACAGCCACCAAGACCTCCAACACCTCCACCGTACCACCCACCTTCTCCGCCACAGCCACCTAGGCCTCCAACACCACCGCCATATGGACCTCCTTCTCCTCCACAAACACCTAGACCTCCAACACCTCCGCCATATCATCCACCCTCTCCTCCTCAACCACCTAGGCCTCCAACTCCACCACCATACGGACCTCCTTCACCTCCTCAAACACCGAGACCTCCATACCCACCATACGGACCACCTTCCCCTCCACAAACACCTAGACCACCAACACCTCCGCCATATCGTCCTCCTTCTCCACCACAGCCACCTAGAACACCCGCGCCACCAGATGGATACTCATATCCAGTTCCATCGATAACATTCCCGACACCTGGACCACCTACGCCATATAGACCTCCTTCTCCCCCACCACCTAGACCGCCGACACCTCCTCCTTACGTACCCCCCTCTCCTCCACAACCACCCAGACCGCCAACGCCTCCACCTTACGTGCCTCCGTCTCCACCACAGCCACCTAGACCCCCAGTACCTCCACAACCACCTAGACCGCCGACACCGCCACCTTACATAACTCCATCGCCTCCACAACCTCCTAGGCCGCCAACACCTCCGCCATACATACCTCCTTCTCCTCCGCAACCACCTAGACCTCCATTACCTCCCCAACCACCTCGACCTCCCACTCCACCACCGTACTTACCTCCGTCCCCTCCACAACCACCTAGGCCACCAACACCACCGCAACCACCTAGACGGCCTACTCCTCCACCATACATACCTCCTGGTCCTCCGCAGCCACCAAGACCTCCAACACCTCCGCCATACCATCCACCTTCTCCTCCACAACCGCCCAGACCGCCAATACCTCCACAGCCACCTAAACCACCAACACCTCCACCATATTTACCCCCATCCCCACCACAGCCACCAAGACCTCCGACGCCTCCACCATACCACCCACCTTCTCCTCCACAGCCACCCAGACCTCCAACGCCTCCACCATACCACCCACCTTCCCCTCCACAGCCACCTAGACCACCAACACCTCCACAGCCACCAAGACCTCCAACGCCTCCACCATACCACCCACCTTCTCCTCCACAGCCACCTAGACCACCAACACCTCCACCATATTTACCCCCATCTCCTCCACAGCCACCAAGACCACCAACACCTCCACCATACCATCCACCTTCTCCTCCACAGCCACCCAGACCTCCAACACCTCCACCATACCACCCACCTTCTCCTCCACAGCCACCAAGACCTCCAACACCACCACCTTATAATCCTCCAACGAAGCCCAATACTTATCTACCACCAGATCGTCCAACTACTCACGGCCCATACACTTCAAGACCTACATCCTCTTACGGAACCACTCCAAGACCTACGTATTCCTATGGTACTACTCCAAGACCTACAGTCACGTATGGCACTACCTCTAGACCTACGGTCACGTATGGTACCTCCAGACCTACACCTTCTTACGGGACTACCCCAAGACCTACAGTCACGTATGGTACCTCTAGACCTACAACTTCTTACGGTACTACTTCGAGACCTACAGTCACGTATGGTACCTCGAGACCTACACCTTCCTATGATACTACCCCAACAAGACCAACATTCACGTATGGTACAACCCCAAGGCCTTCGTCACCAATAACTTACGTAACATCAGTCGCCACCTCCAGACCCACTCGACCAACATTCGGACCTACGACCCATCGTCCTTTCACGGACGAGTCCTCTTACCTTCCACCGATAGATGGTCCGAAGCCAAGTACTCAAGGTCAACCATACCTCCCACCATCCACCCCATCCACGCCGCGTGTAACCGTTACGCCGCCACCTCCACCGACGCCTATCTACACTCTCGTGCCAACCTCGACCATCTACACTCCTCCACCGACTGGTAACCCGGCGCCGCCGCCCACTCTTCCGCCTACGACCAAGAGACCTATCGGTTACTTCTACGAGGTGCCAGAAAATCCGCTTGAGTTACCCCTGCGATGAGACGAACGACGAGCGATCTGAGCGAACTGACAGTTGCAGACTACGCGTTCTCTTTTGTAATTTTTTATATATATGTATAGAATAAGAGCTATTTATGGATCACGATAGGAGATCGTATCGACGTGGTTTAGAATTGGTAGCGCTGATTCGCTGGCGAGAGAAACGGAAAGGGAAACATCATCCTCTGCCGGTTACTTGTATCAAGTGCGTGTATCTAGGACGTTTCTTAGTAAATGCGCGAAACGAATAAAGATTTTTTGGTAAAATTTGTCAAAATATTTGGCAAAACGATGTATGTACTCGTGTATCGCGGGATGATCGATGTACAGTGTGTACAAAGTTTAAGAAAGGGATCAACAATGCCGTGTTATATGACATACGCTATTGGAACGAATTGTACGAGATATAAAATGATTTTGTAACCGCGAGTGTTGCTTGTTTGTATATGTAACACACGCATACATGAAAGTAAATATAATTTGTATAAAATGTATCCTTCGTATCCTTTTACCTTGTGGAGTCCAGTTGGAGAGTGGCTGAAGCGGTCTTCCTAAATCACCGGTGCGCCAGATTTCTATTTTGCGCCAGTTTAAGACACTGTCGCTTATTAATATTCCATAATAACGCTCGACAGAGAAAGTCCGTTGCGTTCACCGTTACGCAGATATTAGACAATTAACTTCGGCTGCACTTTTGATCTTTTCGATGCAACATTCACAGCGAAGATGCACCGAAAAGACCGTGAACGAAAGCGAGAAAATCAAACACCTGATTCGCCAGAGGGTTCGAGGAGTCACCTTTCCGCCTACGACATCCTCTCCACTCATGAATATTGATGATTATGAAATACGATTTTGCATAAAACGATGTTTCTAAATGACACATGTCTTTCGAGCAGACAATGTGTATCGCAATCGACTCACCTTCGCAGGAAAAATAGGATCCTCTCAAGATTTATCGAATAGAATTTCATTGAAACGTACGTGTGCTTCACTTCGAGTCGGGGAGTAACGTGGAATAAATTATGTCATTTTTCATTGAACGGAAAATTGCTATTGTCCTTTCTCCTGCCCCGAGGTGAATGATCGATAATAGTTGATTTGTCGAAGCAGTCACCGTGACACGGTGACATTGACATTCGCTACGGGTATGCAATGATATTTGACTCCAGCCTCGCGGTAAGTAGCCCATAACCTAGCTCCTACTACCATAACGAGCCTCCCCCACGTACAAAGAAATTTTCTACGTTCATGATGGAATCGCCAGTGAAAACTCCGTTGCGCGAAATGGGAGCTCGTTAGTTGCATATGGAGCTTCGAAAGAATACCGTCTCTCGTTCCTGGCAAAACAACAATTTTTCAACGATCTGTCCATTGACCGGAAGCTTGACGTTTCGATTCGTGATAAACGTTTCCACGTGATCGTGTTCAGTCCGACAAATTCTGTGTGAAATGTTGAATGCTAGTTGAATATTTAACTGTTTGATTTCTATTACTTAGCATTCTTCGATATATTAATTATTTTTTTGACTGTGACTGTTTTATACTGAGAAAAAAATTGTGCTTAGGTTGTAAATAATTTTTCTGAGTGTGTCAACGGTATGACAAAAGTAGTCGATAAATAACTGTAAAGGATAAGGATCCTGCTGAAGGTCATGCTCGAAACGGAACGAAGGACTGCGATCAGTACATCCCAGCTTGGACTTTACTCCGATCACGGTGATCGATACAACAGTAGTCGATACAGTTCCATCGCCAAGAAATTCGCGATAGGAGTTATGGTGGTGGTTGCAGTGATATTAGTGAGTATCTGATCAGACATTCAAAATCGATTACATATTCATCCCTACAAAAAGTTTATGGTTCTGTTGAAAAAATTGATAGCGGCCTTGGAATATTTGAAATTTATCCATCTACGAGGAAGTCTTTCGACTTTTGTCCGAAACATGTTTTTATGACTAGTATTCACCTTGCCATTAATCATATTCTGTAGAATATTTCAAATATTAGTAATAATATTATAAATATAATAAGAAATATAATATAATATAATATAATAAGTATAATATTATAATATTATAAATTCAGAATAATAGAAATTTATTCTATTTATTCATTATAGATCAACACATTACATACATTATTAATACATTAGTAATACATTAGGATCAACAAAAGTATCTCGATAAAGAAATATGAAGGTGAAATAAATTCGATTTACTTCTGGGTTTAGTATATATAATAAAATTTGATTCGTTATTCGTTATTCGAATCAGCGCTGCGTTTTCTCAAGAAAAGAGTTTATAGAAGGTTTACGCGGAATAATAGCATCAAACCAATAACGTCACACTCAATTTCCATGGTAATATTTACACGCTTCTTACCTACATAACACGTTGTTTGCATGATCGAGATGACTAGTTTCAGCTTTTACGCTGTCTCGTTAGAAAACTTCCTGTTGCTACATCCTTCTGGTTCGACGACATTCGCGGCGTGATCGAGGAACATTATTCATAGTCAGTTAACAGTCCACGACTCGATATCGCGTTCAAACGAATCCTGTTCGATGCTCTCGCGTGCTGCATCATGCACTCGTTGGCGATCGATTAATTTTTAACGACTGCTTAGGTATTCCACTAGCAATTAACAATCTCTGCAAATATGGGCTAATTAGTTCGATCCAAGTATCGAGGAACCAACGTTTCTAATTAAGTGTGCAAATGAGTGGATCTGCTATTTCCTATCTAATTTATTGCTTACTATCAATACACGCACAACACAATCGATTCATGAAATAATTCCTAATAATTTTTGACACTCTTAACACCGTCGAAGTCCAGCAATGGAAAATATGTCTTTTAGTGTGATGGTGATAATGGTTTCGTTAAAAGTAAAGCTTTTATCGCAACGGTTTCTTAATGAGGAGCCATCGCGAAGAACAATGGGCGCAATTACGTCTCTCGCGAGTTTTCTCCCATGATTAATGTAACAAGTACGATGTTAAAAATCAGAATTTCACCGCAAACCTCGGTATACCCCGTGCATGCTTGGCGAGCCAAGCGTCAAACGAGATTTCTGCGTGCTTCACATATAGGGCGTTAACTGTGTTTTGACACCAATTAGCCCGCGGTATTGGAGCAAGCTCTCAATGAAAACGTAATTAATTTATGAAAACGGAAAAACGGTGCGCATGTTTGCAAACATTCCTACGAATTCAGCTCGTAATGCTCTGTTTCCAAATACGGAAAAGTACATTGCAGAATAATGAATGTTAATGTTACTTTTATACAGAATAGGTTAATGAAAATGTACCATGTTCTTTTCGAATGACCCTGATGTTTAAAATTTATTTTCACTCAATTTTTACGTTTCTTTTCAAATCATGTTCCATTTCATTTCTTTCATGTTAATGATTTATACGCTAAAATAGAATTGTCACGTTCGTGAGCTTCCAATTTGCAGGTGGGGATATTTTTATACGACTTCACGTCAGCCACATCGTTGAACAGTAAAGTCAACCAGGAAACAAAGCACATATACATACTACAAAATGCCCTTAAGAAACAATCGAACATCACAAGGAAGTTCTCCAGTTCTACTCTCCTACCCGAAGTAAACATAAGCAATCCCACTTACATCCAAGATCGTTCCGACAATGAGAATGGGAATCCTCTGCTTTACGATGAAACGGACAAAGCACCCGACGCAGAGCTTAGATCACAGAATTTGAACAACTTTAAATTGAGGAAGAGGGTCCTGAAATCCATCGAAAACAGCAAGGACCAACCAGCTCCGGAGGGGAAACAGTTGTTCGACAATCATGCGCTTGTTTATCGAGTGAGGCAAAGGTAAATCGACGTCCTCTTAATTTTTGGCTACTGTAGCATTAATTAACATTTAATATTCTAAATTATGGGTAGATATTTAATGAATTACATAACTTGTATTTACATTAAAATAAATGTGTTTTTTTACCTTGTACCGGGCATACGAAATATGCAGTGCAACCTGGCGGAGCTATTAAAGTAATTTAAACAATTTATTCGCTTGACATTTCGCTTTATTATAAGGAAGAAAAATATTCCGACCTTTCATGATGAAATCGATTATTTATAAGAACCTGATTCGTTAAGAATATGTTGAACCATCTTGAAACATGCACCGAATAGTAGTATTTCATGGAAATTACTATAAACTCGTATCTCAGTGTCACTGCATAATGAATTGAAATGTCATTTAATATTTGAATAGGTACAAATATCCAGGTTCGAACGAGGAAGACGCAAGTATGGAAGAGAATCGACCAACTCCCTTTCATTGGGAACTGAAGACACCTCAACCAACTTCCTTCAAACGTTCGAGATACCCTCAGTTGTCTCAGTACAGATATCCACACGCTTCCAGAAACATCCAGGACATCATAAAGTACCTGACGAACGAAGCCGAAATGCCAAACAGGGGCATCAAATTCACTGGTGTCTATGTCAATCCAAAGAAGTATGATTACACTCCTGACATAGGGGAGCTGATGTCTAATAGCGACAGGTCAGAAGAAGAAGAAAGTTCTTTTTCGTTGAGCGAAGATCCCTTGTATCAGTTTAAGCCAAAACATCCATCGGATGTCAATCTGTTGGCCACGAACAACTTCAGGTACGTAAACGAAGACTTTTTCTCGAACTTGTCTGACTTCAAAGACATGCTAGAATACGTAACAGCTGTGCATTACTTTCGGTAGCTCTAGTGTCAATAAAGTAGACCTATAAGTGGATATTTGTATCCATTTATTGTCTCTGGACGAAAGTATCTACTATAAAATGAGGTTATTTTGCACCATATAAGGTATCCTTGCGTCAAAACCTGAAAATATCTCAAGTCATGTAGAGCCATAACCAAACCATATTAGGATTTCTCGCACGGGTACTCCACATGCCGCAAAGTAACCTCATCTCACGCTATATGGAAATTAAATTAATTCCTCTTTCCAGATTCTCGCCAACAGGG